CTCTCCGGCACTCTGCGGCAACTTGCCGGCACTCTGCGGCAACTCTTCGACACTCTCCGACACTCTCCGGCACTCTTCGGCACTCTCCGGCACTCTGTGGCAACTCTCCGGCACTCTCCGGCACTCTGTCGCACTCTCCGTCACTCTCCGGCACTCTCCGTCACTCTCCGGCACTCTGCCGCACTCTCCGTCACTCTCCGTCACTCTCAGGCACTCTCCGGCACAATGCGGCAACTCTCCGGCACTCTCCGGCACTCTCTGGCACTCTACTGCACTCTACGGCACTCTCCGGTACTCTGCGGCAACTCTCCGACACTCTCCGGCACTCTCCAGCACTCTGCAGCAACTCTCCGGCACTCTGTGGCAACTCTCCGGCACTCTCCGGCCCTCTCCGGCCCTCTCCGGCACTCTGCGGCAACTTGCCGGCACTCTGCGGCAACTCTCCGGCACTCTTCGGCAACTCTCTGGCACTGTACTGCACTTAACAACACGCACGGCACTGTACGGCCTTCGATAAGGCTCGAAAACACTTGAAAAACGTGCGAAAACGATCGATAACACTCGAAAACGCTCGGAAAACGCTCGATAACGCTCCAAAACACTCTAAAAACGCTCGATAACGATCGAGAACACTAGAATATCGCTCGATAACATTCGAAAACGCTCTGAAAATGCGTGAAAACGCTCGACAACGCTTTGAAAATGATCGAGAAACGCTCGAAAATTGTCGGAAAACGCTCCATAACGCTAGATAACGCTCGAAAACGTTCGGAAACGTTCAAAAACTCTCTAGGAACGCTCGATAACGCTAGTAGGGAAATGTAAAAATTATACGCGAAATGGCTCGGCTTATATCCGCGGTTAGGTAAGCCTCGGGAGGATTTTTCGCAGTATTCGACTCTCACGCATACTCGTCGAGTGTAGCGCTGAACGCGCACATACTCAACGTCTCGACCCGTAGCTTGGCCATCACGAGTACGTTGCGGGCCAACGGCAACTGGTAGATGGTGCCGCCATCGCGAGTGCGGCAGCTCCTATCAGCAATTAGTTGCGCCGCCCTTGGGGGCAAAAAACGGTGAAAGCTAACGTACGAAACCAGAGGGCAACACAGGATGAGATCGTGTGGCGGGCCCGGGACGAAGTCCGGCCATCAACCACCAGGGGCGTAGGCGCGTGTCGAGCGCGATGCGATCAGGACGGGGTAAACTGCGTTACGCCGCGTGCACATTACTTTACTTACCTCGAACCAAAAGACTACGTCGGAAAATGTTTGAAAAACGGTTGAAAATCGGAGAAGAAGACTGTGTGACCAATGCTAGAGCGCACGTAGAATTCCGCTCCTTTTTCTGTGATAATAAAGCAATAACGATAGATAAAGTGGTGAAATATATTCGACAGTCCCCACAATCGCACGATCCTGCCCGTAAACATTCTCCCATCTCATCACTGCTTCCAACCATATATGTACATACATACTTATAAAATTATGATACTGCAAATTATTTTCTTATCAAAAGATGGAACCACTTTTATCATAGGTTGTCGGTAACGTTGAGAAAATTTCATGAGCGTCCGCGAGATGGCACACCCTGAAATGTCCAACGTATGTTAATTGACGTATTATACTTACCCAACCCTGGGATACGTGCAGACACGTGAGTGCACGTGAGTGGACATTCGTCATTAATTATATGATGATTTGAAAACACATTTTCCATGTGGCGTGATCATTCAAGTCCCCGATTTTTGTCATGTTCAATTCTGTACGCCCCGAAAATCGATTGTATTTATGATTAGTGGATATTAACGCGGATATAACCCTGAACGTAAGATTTCTAACTTTTTTTACGAATATTTCTTGTTGGACAACCTTGTAACACAAACGTCACAAGGGAAAGGTTTATATTTCTGGTTAAGACTCTCGGTATTTGTTCTTCCGAATAGTCAAGTTCCAGGCATCTACACGAAGAGACGTTTATCAAGAACTATTTTCTGTATTATTTTTAAAATGGCTCAAAATGTATCTTTATTGACACGCATAGTAGCCTCTTCCGTGACGGTTGTAACTCGAGCGGGAAAAATCATTCGAGATGTGATGAGCAAAGGTGAACTGAATATTGTTGATAAAGGTAATAATGATTTACAAACTTTAGCTGATCGCTCGGCACAGCTATGTATTGTAACATCCCTAAGGCATCAGTTCCCAACCATTTCAATAATTGGGGAAGAGGATTTAAGCGTTTGCGAAGTACCTTTTGATTGGGTTGACACTGAAGCGGATCCAGAGATTTTGAAATTGAAATTACCACCTCATCTAGAAACTGTTGAGGCTAAAGATGTATGCGTTTGGGTGGATCCTCTTGATGGTATTACAATTTTTAATATTCTATTGCCTTGTACATCGCTTTGAAATTATGGTGTTAATTAATGTTAATTGTTTTAGGAACGGCAGAATATGCACAGGGGCTTGTAGAACATGTAACTATATTAGTTGGAGTAGCCATTGGAAAACGAGCAGTTGGAGGTATAATTCATCAGCCATATTACAAAAATTCAGAAAATGGAATGCTTGGTCGAACTTTATGGGGTATTGAAGGTGTAGGTGTGCATGGTTTTAAAGCAGTACTTCCACCTGAAGGAAAACGAATAATTACTACGACACGGTATTTATGCATTTTGTGAATTAGAAATTGTTTATAAATTTTCTAAGATTATAATATTCACTTTTAAAATCATTTCTAGCTCTCATTTAGACAATACTGTACAAGCAGCCCTTGATGCTATGCTAGCTGATGACATTATCCGTGTTGGAGGTGCAGGACATAAAGTAAATTTTATTATTCTAACATAGTAATTAGTTCAATTTGATATTGTGTTTTAACTTTATTTGCAAATGCAGGTTGTACTCCTATTGGAAGGAAAAGCACATGCCTATGTGTTTGCCAGTAAAGGCTGCAAAAGGTGGGACACCTGTGCACCAGAGGCTATTCTGCATGCTGCTGGAGGCACGTTAACCGATATCCATGGTGCAACGTATTCATATGATGCAGAAACAAATCGAGTTAATAGTGGTGGAGTGTTGGCAACAGCTCCAGGCCAAGATCACGATTGGTACATTTCCCGCATTCCTCATGAAGTAAAACGAAATTTTTGAAAATCTAGACTATAGTTTAAAATTACAATATAAAACAATGCAGTACATTAAATAAATTTACTTACTTGTAAAACTATAAACTGGATGGTTTATTTAAATTTGGTCACTATAATTTCGACTGCTCTTTTTGGGCAATGGTAATAGTCATGACCTTGTGGAATGTATTTTAATCAGTGTAATGATTACATTTAATGATTATGGTAAATTTGCATAGAAATGATTACTTTCTCCTTATATATTTTACCTATAATTTTGATTTTATTTGGTTTCTCAAAACTCGGCGTAGTATTTTCCCAGAAGGAGCTTTTGGAATACTGTCCACAAAGCGAACACCTCCTCGCAAGCGTTTGTGACTAGATACACGTTCTGCAAAACATGTTGCTTATAAGATATTCCTTTACAATTTTCCTCAATAGTACATTGAAGACTTACCATTAACATATTTAATAATGTCATCAGCTGTTATTTTAGAGGTTGGTTGTAAAACAACAAAAGCCATGGGCAATTCACCTGCTTCTTCATCTGGAATGCCAATGACAGCGGCATCTTTAATTCCTGAATGTGTCAACAAGATTGCCTCTAATTCTGCTGGTGGTACTTGGAAACCTTTATACTTAATTAATTCCTTTAGTCTGTCAACTATAAAAAAGTAACCATCTTCGTCATAATAGCCAACGTCCCCAGTGTGTAGCCAACCATCTTCATCAATGGTTGCGGCCGTGGAAGAAGTATCCCCACAATATCCCTTCATGATAAAATCTCCTTTGAAGCATAATTCACCCTTGCAATTAGGGGGTAATGCTGTATTAGAGTCATTATCGTCTATTGGTATAACCTTGGCTAAAAAGTGATGAAAAATTTAAGCAATGTTCAAGCATGGAATTTTTTATCTGCATTGGAACTTACCCGATACACCCGGAAGTAACAGTCCAATACTATTAGGTTTATTTTTACAATTTGGAGTAATAGTAACTGCTAATGTTGTTTCCGTTAATCCATATCCTTGTTTGATCTCTTTAAGGTTCAATCGTTTAGAAACTGTATTTTGAATTTCCTGAGACAGCGGAGCTGCTCCACACCTATGCTTGAACAGTTTTGTAATATACAAGTTCCGACATGTTAAAAGTCAAAAACATTACATTACGGTAATCTTAAAAAAAGGTTTCAGACTTACGTTATTGTAGTTACACTGGATAGGTCATACTTATCAACAATTGGATGTTTAGCTAAGAAAAGTACTAAAGGTGGCACCAGAGATAGATATTGTATTCTGTACCGCTCTATAACTTTTAAAAACGTTTCTTCTTCAAAACGTGGTAACAACACTGTTTTTATTCCAATTACTAATTTCATAATAGATGTAATGAATGCATAACTATGAAAGAGTGGTAAAAGTCCCAATGTGACTACGTCGTTCTGTGGAAACCCATATGATGGATTGCCAAGACTTTTGATAACAGCTAACAAGTTCTTGTCTGTCAACATAACTCCTTTAGGAAGTCCTGAAGTTCCACTAGAATTAAGTATTACTGCAACATGAGTGGTTACATCAATCTTGCAAATTTGTAATGTATTTTTATCTGCATCTTTAATATTCGATACGATGTCATATATGTTAGGTAAGTTAACATCATTTGATTTAAAAAATAAAATTAGTTTTGGCTTCCATGAGAAATCTTTTGTAATACTCTGTATAGATTTCAGTGATACTCTTGAGACAAAAATAATTTTTGGCTTGGAAATGTTCAATGTGTGTTGGAACTCTGATTCAGTATATAGTGGATTTAATGTATTGATTGTTACACCCAAATAACTTGCAGCACACATTGGTATACAAAAATTTAAATTGTTTTCACTGCATATCGAGATGCAGTCATTTGACACGAGTCCTTCGTGTCTTAAATATATTGCCAGTTTGATGCTACGATCTAAAATTTGTTCATAAGTCAGTTCTTCTCCTGTAATTGCATCTACCTGTTAACAAATATTAATTCTTTTTCCTTATCCATGATAAACGAAACAAGGTCTAAAATGTTAACGAAAATAATAAATCTTTTACCTGGGAGACTCGAGAACCGTGTATTCTTAACTGCTCGAATAGCAATTGTCCTAATGATAAATCTTTCGGTAAATTTAAAACATCTTGAGGTCCATGTATTATGTTTGTTTGGTTCTTCATTTTATGAATCTGTTAGAAATGAAATCTTTTCCTGGTCTTTCCAATTGTATTAGTTGTTTTGAGCAGTTGTATTCTTTATAAAAAGAATTAGTTTTTAGCACGGATTACATTACTGTTACATCAATACAGTGATTCATTTTTAATGACTAGTCAATTTGAAGAATTATCTATCTGTATTGTAATAGCAGAAAGATAAGAGCAGCCACGACCCCTACTTCGTAACTATTGCGCGGTGCTATCCTCTCAGTAACTGATAAGCCGAAAGGCGCGATACGTCGGTAAACGTAGAATCCAGTCAGGTGTGGTGAGCTGGGTAGAGTTACCGTAGAGCCGGTAAGCACTTATTCACTGACATTTATCGACAGAAAGTCGTTACATACTATTTATAAACAATACAGTTGGCTGTAACGTCAGCTTTATTATTTTATATTCCTCAATGTTTAAAGCTATTTGTCAATTGGATAGTGCACACCTCTAAGGAATTTTTCTACCTTCTCCAATTTTATGTTACCGGGAATTTTCGAATTCTAGCCGTATCGTACGACGGAGGTGACAAGATGGAAGTTTCCTAGATTCTTCTCTCTGCTCACAGACACGACTTGCTCCCGACTCATCTCTGGTTGTAAATATTTTAAATTTGATCATTAATTATGGATGATCTTATGAATTTGGATTTGTATCAGCTGATAGGTGCATCACCTACAGCTTCTGTGAAGGAGGTAAGTAAACGTCCTCGCTTTAACAAACTTAACTGTTTGCATTATTTTGAGGTTAGAAAAATACATTATTATATTATTTGTTGTGCCTTCAGATAAAGACAGCGTACCGGAAAAAAGCGCTTACGTGCCATCCGGACAAGAATCCGGATAACCCAAAAGCAGGGGAGTTGTTCCACGAATTATCCAGAGCTTTGGAAATATTGATTGATGAATCTGCAAGGGTGATTTATCTATATTTTATTATATTTCTTCTTTAATAGTTTGAGTGACCCGAGTGATTGCCCTGTTCAGACATTATACCGAAAAGTGCCACTACATTGAGCTAAGAAGCACTCAATAGCTACAAGAGTAAGCAACATGATCGTGCTGCTCGGCACTGTTCGGTAAGATTTTTGCAATGGCTCCTGGCACTCAAACAGTTATGTATAGATATATTGTTAATATTTTGTTTATATTTAGGCCGCATATGATAAAGTTTTACATGCAAGATGTCAAGCTAAATTAAGAGTCAGAGAATTAGACTCAAAACGTAGAAAGTTTAAAGAAGATCTAGAGGCAAGAGAAGAAGCCTATAGACTCAGTCAGCAAGGTGGGGGATATAGTGGTAAAAGTGACGAAGATAGACTTAAGGTTTGTATTTGAGATATAGCATGTGTTGGTCTGTCTTCAAGAATTTTTCTGGTATAATAAATATGTGTTACAGGCTGAAATAGAAAGGTTGCAAAAAGAAGGCTCCAAACAAGTAGAAGAAGAAGTTGCTTTTGTGCGCCAGAAAATTTTTGAGCAATTACATGGCCACAATAAGTCTGCACCAACAGATTGTAGAATTAAATTAAAGTGGAAAGTTGCAAAAGATGATTCGGAGAATGGTGGATACAATTACGATGTTCTGCACAGAATGTTATCTAAGGTAAACTATTTTCAATGTAGACATTTTCTGAAATAAAACTCAAAATATTTACGCCAAGAATAATTTTCAGTATGGGGATATCGGAGCTCTTGTGATCTCATCGAATAAAAACGGACGTGCTCTGGTTGAATATAAGGAAGCTACTGCAGCAGTAAATATCTAAAGACTTATTTTTTTATTCTAGAAATTGACATATTTACTGACCGTTATGCTCTTTATTCTTCAGGAAATGGCAGCACAAATTGAAAGTGGTCTCGCGCAAAATCCCCTGGTTCTTGAGCTAATGGGACAGGCAGAAAAAAAGACGAAACGTAGTGCAACTGAAACTAGTGGCAGTAATTCTCAACAAAATAAACGATTGTTTCCTTCAGCATTTGATACAAATGAGCCAAAAACTTGTAGTTTCCTTAGTTTTGCATCAGCGCCCGATATATTCGTAAGTACAGTAGAGATCCATGATATGTTCAAAAGTATATTCAAAAGTAAATAATCTTTTTTTTTTTATAGCGTACTCAACCTAAAATGACAGATGCACAATTTGAAACATCAGTCCTTGATAATATGAGGAGAGCCCAGGAAAGGAAACGATTATTGGAAGAGTTAAGAGCTGAGGAGGGAACTTGACAAATTGGATGACAATACTGGTTCTTAATGTATTATTGAAAATTGTAAGAAAGTGTGTATCTCATCTAGCAGAGACACCAAAGTCGTGGTTGTTGCTTAAAAAAAAGTAAAGCAACAAGACATATTTTTATAATAAACTTATTTAAATGCCATGTATGCTGTGAATAATTTCAGAATGCCCAAGCAAAGTATTCATCGATCATTAAGATCACTTGTATAAGACATCAAGTTGTGCCGGAATAGGTTATTTAGACACTAGTCATTGATTCTTCGCTCATTTAGTCATGTTTTCTTTTTGCTTCTTTTGCTTCTTCGTTTCTGCTTCATCAATAGGTGCAGATTTAACAAAAGGTATATCTTCTTGATATTGTGTAGGCATAAACAATGCTAATGCTTTGGGCACTGTGATTCCTGTCTCTGTCTGATTAACTTCAAGAATGGCACAGATGACACGAGTCACTGCACACATTGTGGCATTTAACATGTGAACGTATTCGGTAGTTGCATTCATTTTCTTAGTCTGCCCATACCTAAAATTCAGAATTCGAATTTGTATCGTATCATCCATTTACATTAGTTATTTTATATTGCCTATTAACAGACCTGACTAATAACCGCCTAGCTTGGTAATCTAAACAGTTGCTGCATGAAACAAGTTCCCTAAAGGCTCCTGAGCCTGGAAACCAAGCTTCCAAATCAAGCTTCTTGGAAGCTGCATGATTTAGAGCCCCAGATACAATATTAATCACTCGATATGGAATATTGAGCTCCTGATAAAATTCTTCAGCATTTTGGATCATTTCTTCCATCATTTCCCATGATTTATTGTCATGAGGGGAAGTAAGACAGAATTGCTCCACCTATTTATGTATTGATTCCACTCATATAAGTTAAGCTAAAGGCTGGATTTTTTAAATATGATTTCAATTTACCTTCTCAAACTGGTGAACCCTAAAAATGCCTCTGGTGTCTCGACCATGCGAGCCTACTTCTTGTCTGAAACACGTCGACAGACCAGCATATTTAATTGGTAGAACATTCTCAGCAATCCATTCATTGCGATGGAAAGCAGCGATTGGTTGCTCTGAAGTAGCAATCAAATACTTTTCATCAATCTCTTTCTCATCTCCCTTTTCACTACCTTTCCCAATGACCTGAAATATTACATTCATTACTTAATCTTATTAAATAATAATTAATAATATAAATTGAGGAACTCCCAATTTGTATATCTATTAAACCTTGTATAATTCTTCATCAAATTGTGATAATTGTGCAACTTCCTGCATGGCATCCTTCCGCATGAAAAATGGAGTATAAAGTGGTTTATAGCCTTTATCGTAAAGCTTCCTAAGGGCGAGTTGAATGAGTGCATGTTGTAGGAAAACAGCTGGCCCAGTTAAAAAGTAGCCTCTGCCACCCGATACCGCCGTACCACGTTCTCCATCCATCCCATCGATCATATGAATTAAATCCACATGTGAATACTTTTTCTTCTGCCTGCAATCCCCAAAGGTTCTTTCCACCTTGAGAGAATTATGAAAACCAGATAAACAGTAGGTTACGCTTAACGAAGTGCAACAAAACCAAACGATTTAAAAATTATTACATAGATTGCATCATACCTTATTCTCATCTTCGTCGTTGCTTACAGGTACTGACTCGTGCAAATGATTGCCAACCTCCCTAAGTGCAGCGTTTCGATCCAATTCAGTTTTCGTTAAATCTTGGCTATTGGAGACGATGGCATCCTCTATTAATGCTCTAATCTTTTTAATTAGGGTAACCGTTAAGGGTTTGAGGTCATCTGAAGTAAGATCATCTAGGTTAGTCGAGATCTCAGCTGGTACGGACTCGTCTTCTCCGCACGGTTCCTTCTTTCTCATCTTTTCCCCGATTTCCTTGCTGCAGAGATTCTTTAATTTATTTAAATTGTCCGCGCGGTGCCGAAGCTGTCTCCAGTACTTGTCCTTCTCGATGACGGTGTCAACGAGTTTGACATCTTGAAACCGCTTCGTTTGGTTTTCCCGGACCTTGGCCGGGTCGAAACCCTTGTCTTCGCGGAATAAATCCAAGTCCAACACCATTTTCTTGCTGATGTTCTACCAGTTTAACACTTGACAACTCGATTTGAGTTCCACGACTGCAACCGACTGCACCAAACCACGTGGAATGCGTCACTCTCTGCCGGGAGGATGTAACAACGTAGAAGGGGAAGTGAGGTTAGGGAGAGATTCGGAATATGGCCGTTAGAGGCGGTGCGGTCGAAGCGAGGTCAATTCAAGTCCCATTTTATATATTGCCATTCAGTTCTCGAGCAAGTAAAGCTCTACATTTCATCGATTACGAATTCGTTAACGGTATCGCAGAGTAAAAGTAGATACAATGAGCTTTTTTTACTCTTTTAGAACGAATTTATGGACGAGGCATTTAGTCTCTATTCTTGCATTCTTTAGGGTCTATTCTCTGTATTCCGATTAAAATTGTGAATTGCAGCAGAGAAGGTTTATCTCCTTCGATCGATTAGTAGATTTACGCCGATAAGTGACTTACTGCGAATCGTATTAAACATTATTTCACTATTCAATGCATTTCTCTCCGCAGGTACCCAAGATTTATCAGTGGTTTTTCATCGTTTCGAATGAAACTCGCATGATTATCGGAATTTACAAGAGAAGTTATTCTCGGTGGTGGTTCGTTGCGGTGCGCTCTAATAAAATTAATTAACTGGCCACGATCATGAATCTCCCCGGGTTACACTCGATCAAATAGCTTAGTTTTAATTTCGGTAATGCCGGGGGACGATTTGTTCGCTTTTTATTGCTTTCCCACTCATGCGGCGTCCGTATTCTGCCCTTTTTTTGCAGGCGGGAAAAAATCGAGATAACATCGTAAAGCAGGAGGATCGTAAACGCTTGACGCGAAAATACAGACTCGCATTATCGATCCCTCCTGCAATTTCGAGGAGCGGAACAAGTACTGCGGATCGCCTCGAAAAATTCCGTATAAATCAGTGCATGAGGGCAGAGAAGAGGAACCGTAGAAATATAGACGAACAAGTCCACCCTGTATACCTTGGAAAAAAAAAAAACTCATTGAGCCAAAGAAATATTTCATTGAATAGTACCAAAGAAGTATTTAGTTACTTCAAAGAATAACTATTTGATTCAAATAAACTCGAATAAATTGGATACAACGAATGTTCGGAAAAATTCGGAATTATGACAATTTATTGAAGTCAAATCATTCATCTTGGAATTAACGAAGTATTTCATTGGTTCAATGACATCGGTTTTTCTCAGTGTACAAACGTAAGTCGACACGTCGAAACGTTATCCATACTTGGTGGAATTAATTTTAATATCACTCCTCGAGGTAAATTATAATACATTTTTCTTTAATGGTAATCCAATTTCAATCTATTTTCAAGGTAAATTAATTTCCTTTTCCACCCGCAGATTGAAGGCTGACTTCGCTCGTTTGGATTGATTTAAACTCGCCAGGGATGAAACGATTAACGAATTTGACATGGGCGGTGAAATTTTGATGCAGGTTGGAGGATTTTATGGAGCCATTCCGCAGCTCGCCACGACATATGGCGCATCGCTATGCCCTCGTGGAAGTGTTCCTGGTTTTCAGTATCTACACGAGGAGAACGTTTGAAGGGTTTCCACGAGGTCCTGCCTGGCATGGAAATTACTACGGCGTGTAACGTTTACGTAGTTACAACGTACGCCCTGCGCTTCAATTGTTGCTACAATAACTCCAGAATTAAGCGGCTAACTCGCTCGCCTCTGCCCGACGTATTCTCGTTAAGGGTGCACGCCGAGTAAAGAAATCTTGGAGACTCGATTTTATACATTTTAATTGCCACGTTATTCGAGTCGACTAGCAGTCCCCGAGGGAAGGGAGTCCTTTAATTCTAACTGTCGTTAACAATCGACACCGAGTTTCTTACTCTTAGGAATGGCCGATAGGATAGTTCCGCGCTCGTCCGAGCCAAACCGAAACATCTCATTAACGAGACGATTAAAAAAGTTCTAATTGCATTAAAGTCGGACGAAACGATGTTGGGCTTTCTCGGGTAAGCGCGATTTATCGGGAGGCTCTTGGGCGAACTCGAGAAACCTGACAGATTTGAAAAAGATGGAATCCCACGTGATCGACCTTCCCGAAAGGTGGATTTCTCTTTTAGGAAGTCATTTCTAAATAGAGTCGATTTGAGGAAACTATAAGATTTTTTGAAGAATTAAGGAACGTCGAAGGGCGAACGTGAGATGCCTCGCTTCCGGATTCGCGATTCTCGCCTCAGGTACTCGCCGAGGCTCACAAATGGCTCTAATTGCGCCAAGAGTGTACCGCCGGGCATGCTCCACTAATAGCCAGGGGACGGATAAATTACGGGGCGATCCCAATCGTTACTGATTGCCGATGACGGGGCTTGGGAAAAATCACGGGAAATGTCTCAGCACCTTGGAGGCCCCGCGAACAAATTTCGAAAATTCCTGCTGGACCGTCCGGCTGTTTTTCTTTTTGGTTACTCGACCTTCCCTGGCCGTTTTTTTTTTCCGGGACAAATGGCTCTAATTGACCCGAGAGTGCATCGCCGGGCATGCTCTAATAGCCATGGGACGCATTAATTGCAGGACGATCACCCCTCGAAATTTGCCTGAAAACCGTGACATGGACCTGGCGAATTGCGGGTGCAAAGAACTCTTTCGCGATTTCCGTGCACTTTGGCTCGGTTATTAACCATTCTAATCTTAAGACGTGACCGAATGTACCATTATACTTAAGATTTAATTTAACTTTCAATTGGGTAGGGCTTAATTTTGTATCGAATTTCGTAAAATTGATTTGCTAGACCCTGACTAGCAGGTTCCACGGTCTCCTAGTTCTTGTTGAATCGACGCACTTTTTCGGAGAATGATTTATAGCGCATTGTACGGGTCTAGTTAGAACAATCGACATGACTAGCCATTCTACGATACGCGACGCGTTAAATGACTTCAGGGTGCGGACTATGGCTGCTATGTTCTCGGATTAAACCACCGACTAAAACTTTGGAAAGTTTCCGAAATCAGCTGTTCGCCGAGCCGAGGCTCGTTCAGGAGTTTCGTCTTCGTTCTCGAAATAATTGAAACAATTGTACAGACACGCGAGTCGTCGGCGTCGCTTCATGAACTTGCCTTCTGCAAGCAGCGTAATTATCAGAGCTCCTCTAACGAGCAGGATTACGCTTTACTCCACACCCTTTAACGTGCTCTTATCGGTGCCGGTTGCTTTAGGAATTTGGTCCTATTAATTTGATATACTTTTCTATTAACGTTATTAATATCGATCGTCGACTCGCAGGACTCCGCAGTCGAGGGTATACCTGAGGTAGTCTTCAGGGGGAAGTCAATTGACACCGAGTTCATGTAGAGCACTTACCAGTCTCAGAGTGGTTGGTGCAATCTCAAGTACCAGAAGCGATGATCGCCCGGAAAATCGAGTTAACGGTGTTTCTCCGATTCCCTTGGTGAGAGAGTTTCCAGAAATTAGCTCGTTCGTCCTTAACGATTGGACGGTACTGATAGCTGCCTCAAACGGGCTCCCTGGTGGGAATCAATGACCGTTCATTGAATTTCACAGTCGACAGTCTTTTCTCCCCACCTTGGGAACATGTTTTATTACCCGAGTAACGCCTCGAATTTCAATCGATTTTTATACTCCGTATTTGTTCTCGAATACAAGGAGAGGCTGAAACATCGAGGTCGTGGAGAGCAGTCAATCCGGAGGAGATTTTTCTTAAATGGGTCAATGAAACAAATCTCGAGACCGTCACCGAGGGAAATGGTCTTTACATGGTACAGTGCTGGGGTTAAAACTGAGAATTACGGGGACCTACATAGCCGGCAATAAATCCAAGACGATATCGATTCGAGAGCTGTCTTATACATGCGAATCGCATTTGAAAGGAAAGACGCGTTTGCGGATTCAATTAATAGTTCTCTTCGCTATTGCCTTAACTGGAGGCTTTTTCTAACACTCTTTCGGATTTTTATTTCCGAAAAATACTAATCCGTGTAGGTGAAAATAGTTCTCTTCGAGGGTACCTTGCGTTTCATTTTTCAAGGGCGCGGAAATCCTACCCTCCGATTCTGTCACCGTCTCGCCGTGGAACTGACAAGAAATAAGTTAATAATCGACAAATCGATCGATTTGTCGCTGCGGGTCGGGGCTAACCGAACGGGGAGGTTATAAACGGATTTGCAAATCCGGAAATTCACTGGAGTCGTATTCGTCGTTACTCAACTGGAACCTTCTCCTCACTTTTTATGATTTATTGTCCACAACATATCTAGACATGGCCACATAAATATGAAAGAAAATTATTTAACGAGATGATCGACGAAGAGGATCGATTAATTAAAATTATTCTACTGTTTTCAGCGATTCGCAGAAAGAGGGTTTCACGGTTGGATATAGAAGCGGCCATTTAGATGGGAATAATGCAGTTCAAATGACTCGTGGTGTTGTTAAAAGGTAATAACTAGACGCAGAGGGGGCGAAACGGAAGGTTCTGTGAAAAGAGACGAGGGAAGAAACGCAGAGCCCGACATTTTTCCCCGAGACGGGGCCGACGCCGCCTCGGATGAGTATCGATTTGTTTATAAAGGAAATATTATTTTGACAAACATGGAATTATCGTAATGTCGCCAGGCACCCTCCGAAACCGCGTAATCCCATTACGCGACTTCCGTCGACGAGACGTCCCGCTTCCTTCGAGCTCTCCCTCCCAGAGAAAGGAACAATTGGGTTTCTCAAAGAGTGGATTCGCATTCAAAAATAAACTCCGACTACTCCTCGGCTTCCTTTATAACTACTTAATAAAATCTTTCCCGGGGAAGAGTATTAAATGCTTCTCGCTCCTCTCTGCGTCGTGCTCTTTAATCAGGAGTTCAGATTGTCAAACAAATTATGAGAAAAAAAGGAAAAAAATTAATAATCCGTTAGCAACATACAATGACTTAATCAGATAGTCGGCTAAGTCCTGACGGAGGACATTTTAAGGTCCTAAGGTGATATGGAAGTGCCATCCGAAGGGTCAATCGTTTGTGAACCTTTCCTCTGAACTGGGTGTACCGAATCGTTTCAAACTTTGCCACGTGGATACGGAGACCTTAAGGTAGGTCCTGATCACGATGAAATTTAATTTTTTAAAACAAATTTTAAAAGTGTCTATAAATAAATTGCAATTTCAGGGATGTCGGGACCTTCCTTACACCCTCCATTCATTCATATTGTAAAGTTTGAAACGATTCGGTACACCAAGTTTCGCTATCGAGACCTTCTTGACGCTACTTTCATATCACCTTAAGGATTCCCAAATTTTCGGCCTTTTTTTCTATTCCCCCCAAGACGGTCCCCACCCACGCGTTTCGTTCCGAGTGCCCGCGAGATTGAGTTGTGGATTTTGCGGCAGTGTTGCGTGTGACACGTGAAGGGCTGATAATCGAAGAATAATAGGGGAAGGTTGACTTTCGCTTCCAACGAGGCGTGAGAAAACTAGGAGGCATCTTGGAGGGGGCGAGATGCGTCTCGGTAAACGCGTAATGCCGCGTAAAGAGCTCCGAAAATGCCACTCATTCGTGGGAACCCCGGAATTCAGTCTACCCCTTGTCAGTTTCTTCCTTCATTAAACGTCTATAAACGTGTAATGCGTAAAATGGATGCCGCATTCAGTAGTAGAATTATTTAAAAATCTTTCTCGTCGGGAACTACACGTGTCTGAAAGCTCGAGGCGCACTTTGGGGCGAGACGTGAGGTAATCCGACAAGGGGTAAGGACCGATGTCGAAAGGATCATCCCTTGTTCGGGGCAGTAATGATATTTTTGAAGTTAACGGGCACGGTGTGAGGCATCCGTCCAGAAACACGTATCTCCCGGTCCATCCAATTATCCCATATTATGTCGGCATTCGTCTTTTCCAGCGGAACGTTTCGGAGCTTCTTCCCTGGGAAAAGCTCCCACAGCCCCGTCTGGAGATTCTACGCGGCGGGTATCACGTTCCGGACAATGAGCCCTAAAGTTATTAACATTTCCGGCACACAGGGATGATATGGAGCTCAAGAAAAAAAATTCGGCTTTGCGCCGCTCATATTGCGAATGTGTATTTCGCAGGATGAAGCCTTCCGGCACGAAAGAGTTCACCTTTATCTGCTCCTGTGGATCCCCAGGGTGTCAGGAAATTCGAGTAACTCGAAATATCCATCCAGTACCTTGATTAATTAATGTAAGCCTGATATTATGAGTTTGATAGCAATAGATAAAATTGAACGTTGGGACCGGGAACTCCGATTCTTCTGCATCTTTGTCTAGGCCTTTAAATAATTCCAGGATATTATTTTATAGGTGTAGGTGCAAGAAGGGGTTAGACAAATGAAATCAGGTGGTGGTAGGTATTACCGAGACCTTTTGAGAAACGAGGAATCTGGGCACCTGTGGATCAGGGAAGACTCGGCGCAGAAGAGGGACGCGGATTCGGACTGGCGGTGAAAGGGTTGTGTCCGGGGTCGGCAGAGGGTCGTCGAGGGTTTCAGGGGTTCCAGGGGGTGGCAGAGGGTGAGTGCGAGGGTGGTTTCGCGGGCGCGAGTCAAGTGCGTGGGGGTAGGGGGTGTTCGATTGGACGACGCCGACGGTGGAGGGACGCACAGGCTTATATAAACGCAATTGCGAGCACGGTGTCGCACATCTGACCCCGACGTCGTCAAGGAACCACGAGGGAACCCCACGGAGCTGCAAGGAGCCGTAAGAAGCACTAAGGAACCACCAGGAACCGCTAGGAACAGGTCGGGGGTCGTTCGGTGCCGTATTTATTGGAAGGTCAGTAATATGAGTATACGAGTAGCCAAGTAGTACAAGTCCCGCTTTGGTCCGACAAATTATTCCATAAAAATTGGAAAAAAAAGAACATCTCTTTCAACCTAGAACTTTCCTCAAAATTGTAAATATGATTAGCTAAGCAAAGCTATTGCAGCTGCCGAAGTCGGGAAACTTCTTACAATTGGAGGTGATTTTTAATTTTTCTTATTTTCTTTTTTAAGGAGGCACGATATTTTTCCTCGTATTCTTTGGGCGAATAAAATTGCTCTCGTTTGTTGTGTTTATCCTCAAGTTGAGTATTCATCGGCGACGACTAATTGTCACCGGAGGAAATCTCAATTAAGCTTCGCAGGTGAGGAGCTATCCATGAAGGATAAATTCATTCAAAAACGCTAGCCGTTTCGGTGGACCTCTTTTGATTGAAATTTATCGCGCAGTTCCGCGTCGCATCGACGTTCTAATTCGATGAGAACAAATTGCAGTCCGTTTCTGGATCACAACGAATGCACGTACCGGAAACGACTGCTCTCCATACCGCTCCGTACACGCGTGATTTAGCTTCGGCAAAACTACAGCGTTGTTAGCGCACCTCGTGAAAAATGTGCACGCACAGGTTTCCTGTGACTAGCCGGTGCAGCTGCAATTGCAATCTCTATGTTAGAGGCCGGTCGTTAAACTTGTAAAACTTTTTACTGCTTTTATTCCGAATAGTTATTTGTTACGTGGACCGTTCGTTTCAATTATTTGCTCGGTCGAGTGAATCGTGAAGGTTCGGAGAAAAAGTCAAAAGAAGGAAAAAAAAAGGACGAAGGTTTACGGATTCGGTACCGGTTAGAAGAAGTTCGCAGGAAGGGGAATGCGATTATCGGTGCTCCGAAAAAGTTTTAACTCGGTTTTCGCGGTCTCTGAGGGGAAAGAGTTGAGTTAAGGGTTGATCGGTCTCCTTTCCGAGAGAATCTACTTTGCGGAACGAGGGGGTAGGAGAAGGTCCTTTCGACGATTGCGCTGGTTCGCTTATAAAAATCCACCTTTACGGAAACGGGGAAAGGACGTCTCTCATGGTTTGGAATCGGGGACGAAGTGAATTCTTTTTGTCTCGCCATCCAATTGATCGACATTACCGTCCCAGAGGAGCGTTTTATTGAAACTCACGGGATATTTTCCTTTCCGCTCTCCGCGCATCCACGTATTTCAATATACGGCCGGTTTAAGAGTACATACACTTAATGTACAATTTCTTTCAACCCCTGCCCTCCGCCTCTAGTTTACCAATTCCCTCGGCATACGGCAAGTTTTACTCCAAGGAGCGCGTTTAATTAAGCTTAGCAATTCTGGACACGATTCAATGAGCTTATGAATTCTCCCGAGATGTGCGAATTCTTGATTTAATCCGACGAGTGAAACCTTCAATTGATTAACTAATTCATTCCTCTGTCCGAAGTATAGAGAAAATCTGTAACCGTAGTTATTCACATATCATTATTCCTGGACTCCGAAAATTATTTTTCCCCGCGAGGAGAACCTGTACGCCCTTCGGGGGTAAATCATAAATTTAAATTTCCTCAATTTGAATGTTTTCGCATTAATCGGGGTAGGTTGAAAAAGTTACCTCGTCGAATTTTAGGCGAACGGAGAGAATTAATCTCGTGAAAGTCGGATGCATTTTCCGAAGTGAATTTTATTTTTGCGCAGATCGGGATGAGATGATGTTTCTGTAGCCTAAATCTAACGATACTGGACTGTATAGAGTGAGTTGGTATGGAGTCGTTGCGAAGGGGTTGAACCGTGTACACGTAGTTGCGATCAACTGATGGCATGTGTAAATGCACCCCCAAGTACGCGTTCTGGATCGGTCCGGAGAATTTCTCAGAGATGGGGTCGTAAGCTTTTATCCGACTCAAAGTTTTACGACCGGGCCAAGTAAGGAGGAGCTCATATCCCTTGCTTCACATCTCGAATTTGAATAAAAATGAATAGGTGAAAATCTATAGGTGGTTTGAAATCGTAACGCCGCGCGCTGCGGATTTGAACGCGTGAGAATAACGAGTTTCGGAATGGGGAAAAAAATCGAACGGAGGTATAAAACCGAGCCGATTTTCGCGATAGCTTGTAACGCCTCCATATACAGAATTCTACAAAAGGGGAAAAGAAAAAAAAATAGCTTGGCTGGAGTTATTGAAGCTAGCCAAAATTTGGAGTAATCGAGGATTTTCATCCACTCTAAAGTTCTGGGTTTCCGTGAGACCGCTATTCCGCAGTTTCTAGAACGGGATGTCGGATTCTATATGCAGAATTCTGCGGAAGGGATAGTGAAAGAAAAAAATATAGCCGGGGGTGGAATTATTGAAGCTTGAAAAATTAGAAGGAATCGAGGATTTTTCTCCACAATGAGGTCAGGTCATGCGTCTTCGCGAAGCCGCCGTTCTGCGTTTTCTATGGGAGGATGTCGCGATAAAAATGACGCAGTCATGCATCCTTGCACCGGGTATGATGCGCAGAAATCTCGTACAATGACACGCTGCCATGACTTCGGATGAAATGCATTCCTGGGGGCCTTCTTTTCCGCGGAATTCGAAGATTCCGCACACTTCGCTCCGCGTTTACGGCAGGGGGAAAAATTAGAAGAGAGGCTGCAAAGTCGAGTTAACACTTTGATGGCTAAATCACGAAATCTGTTATTTTATTATCATCGTCAGTATTATTATGTGGCAGGTGCATCTGCGGAGGGAAGAAAAATTCCGCAGAATATTGCCATCAGATTTTTAAGAAAGTTCTTTTGCATTTATTTGGTAAATGGTTGGGTACTAAACTGGTTAAGGGTAGTGCATCGCGACGGAAAAATGTATCATCCTATTATTTACCGACGTAATTCCAGGCTGTGGGCGGTGCACGCCAAGAATGCACGCTCCAATATGGCGGCTGCATATCCGGGGGATGCATGGCCGCAGCGCGTTATAGATTCTCGTAAAGTTCTGGGCAACGATTTCTGCGGGAAAGACTTTCGGCCACCCCGTGAACTCCATCGAGTTAACAGATTAATTGCCGTTAAATATCCAAGAGCTAAAGAGCCGACGTTACGGCGGATTATCGCGTCGTTGTTTATCGTTATCCGAGGATTTACCTCGACATTCGTGTCTTCAATTCCCGGATTTATTTACCAAAGAGTCACACTCGAGTCCAGGAATGGAAAATTGAAGCCAAACGGTGTAAAAAAAGAAAAAAGAAAACCTATAATAAATTCATGAATCATACATCGTGTGATTTATTCAGGTACGGTGTACTTAAATTACCCTACGTATTTAGTACACACTCGGGCTTTAATCTTATAATCTGGTTTAAATAATTTCCGATAAATTGTTCTCACGTTTACGAACATCGCACACTGTTTTGAAAGGTTAATTCATCGAATTTGTACACTGAGAAAGAAATTTCATTGAACCAAAGAGATATTACGTTAATTGCAAGGAATAATTACTTCACTCAGATAGACTGGAATAAATTGGATAAAACGTTTCTTCGGAATTATGACAATTTACTTTAATTTACTTTAGTCAAGTAATTATTCTTTGAATTAACAAAATGTTTCTTCGATACACTTAAATTGTATGGGGTTTAGATAGATCTTTAACAGTGCGTGCGTTGTTCACGCTGAATAATGATTTAGTTATCGAAAAGTGGAAAATTGGACGGAAATTGCAGGCATAAATTTGCCACCTGTCGGAGTGGGCTCTCATTTGGTGACACACGTGGGTGGGCTTTCCGCCTGTTCGGAGCTCAATGGAGATTCGATAAAGGGTAATCCATTAAAGTTATTATGAAAAAATGTCGACACGCCCGAACGGCCGGAAATGCACCAGAAGGGGAATTTCCGGAACGTCTCCCTCGCGCGTTTCGTCACCCCTTGAAGAAACAAACGACCCGGCCGAGTCGCGATCGCATCGCATTGAAAATGCACCCCGCGAGGAAAGGAAGGGTTGTAAATTTTCGTTGTAGAGGCTTGCTTAACGATTTTACAGGAGATACTCACTCTCTGGCCAAGTTAAGTCTCCTTAATGCCGCACAATTTAGTTCTCGCTCGTTTGCGTGGCTTTAAGGCCGCTTTACGCGACCCCGGCTTTGACTTTATAAGGCCTTCAAATTGAATTTCCAACGAAAAACTGGCTCGACGAATTTTACGAGGGTGTGGAAAACTTCCGGAAATGGGGCCCGGGTTAGCGTAAAAATGACTTTTAAAAAATTGGGTAATCGTACACTGTACTTGGTACACTGAGAAAAAGAAATTCATTAAACCAATGAAATATGTCTTTGGACGGTATAAGAAATATCTATCGTTAATTCAAAGGATAATTAATAAGAATAAATACTATACTTAATATTTATAATAAAGTTTGTTCCCTCAGTGTGTCAATTATCTGCTAAGTCGAGGTAATTAAATTCTTAAGCGAATATACGGAAAGAAATAATTATCTGCAACTATTGCGAGGGTCGCAGGTCGATGAAACGTTTTTTTTTTATACACGGGGGGATGACGAAATGTACATTTTCGTCTGCATACATCTGAGTCGATTCATGCCAAGCCATTCATCATGTCGTACATTTGGCGACCCTCGATTCCTCTTTGAGTTCGATTCACAAGTCGAGTACAGAGCAAGGTGAAAGCGATCAAAGTCATTTTTGTATTCACTGCCGAAAACGATAAAGGGTCGATTGATAGTACGACAGGAGTCCCTCTTTCAGGAGTAAACAAATCAGAATCAGGATTTTCGGGATCTGCTGAAATTCACATTCACCGTACAGATTTATTGGCCAAATCTGTCGCGACTGCGACGAAGACTCTGTCCCTGGATGAGGGAGATCCCTCCACTAAAAAAAGAATTTCATTGAACGAAAGAAATATTTTCTTAATTCGTAGAATAATGATTTTGCTCAAGCAAATTCGAATAAATTGGATGAATTTACAAAATATTTCCTTGGTACTTTTCAAAGAAATATTTCTTTGG